TACCTGCCAATGATTAAAATTCAACAAAATTTCTTAATTAATAGATATCTATGTATTAACTAATGTACGAAAAAATTATTTATTACAATTATAAGTCATCGAATCACGACCTGTATAACAAAGAAAAGGAAATCATACAAAGGGAGATCAGTATATAAATGTAATGCATATCTGTAAAGTATATAAAGCTATATGTAACAAAAAATACAGAGAAAGAGAGAGAGAGACAAGAGAGAGGGAGAGAGAGAGGGAGAAGAGGGAAATTGATATAAGAGTCATACCTGCAAAAATATTGGCGAACTGATATTTCAGTATCTTGGATGTTCGACCTCTGTTGTAATGATCATATGTAGAATATTTTAAAGTAAATAGTTGGACCTACATTAATATAAGACAAATGTTACAATATAGCTCGGTAAATAATTGATGGATCATATATTATGCTACAAAAAAATATATGGAAAAGGAATTATAAAGTTATTATATATATATATATAGATAGTATAGATATATATATATATATCTATATATGTGTGTGTAATTATGGATATGTTAGTTGTGTATGTGTGAGAGGAATTAATAATAAAGTCAGTGTCCGGATATACATATATATACAGTACCAAACATTTACGTAAAAAAACACATGCACACACACACACACACACACACACCACACACCACAAACATAGTATTATATATAGATATAAACACATATCATTTATTATTCTCTTCATGTATATATATATAATATTTATACACACGCTCATATGTGTGTGTTTTCACTGTCAGAATATGAAACCACTTACTGTTATTGTCCTCGACGCAACCGTGTGACACATTGAAGTTTTCAGCAGCAACAATGTTCTTTAATTCAAGAGTCGAAGTTGTTATCCCATCGAAATTCCCTAGTCCATGTGTTGCGGTTTTCTTCTCATGGCCTATTTGAAGTTCTAAATCGTATCGACAGATTGTGGCAGCGAGGGTAAATGACTGGTTCTTCGGCATGGGAAGGAAGCCATCGCCAGCGATTTCTTCTTTACCAAAATGTCCGTGAAGTTGTATAACTGCATTCGAGGTAGAATTTAGTGTCAAGTTCATGACAGGCGTTGGTCGGATGTCTTCCCTGACTGACACGAAGAGGTTTAACTGCCAGTTATCGTCGTGGTTCGGTTTCACGCCCACGTTGACTGTCCACGAATCTCCGTTCTTATTCAGAGGACCTTGAAAATGGCTTCCAAGCGTCGTCACCTCACAACCTTTGCGAAGAGAAATGTCATTCCGGCTTACCTCTCACGAAATATTGATTAATGTATTGAAGATAATTTAGGATATGCGAGATTCAAAAGAAAGAAACAATAAAATGAAAATTCACCTCGTATCACCATCGGCAGCACGATCGCCATCACAACAGTCGTCCAAGTCATCGTTACCCCACTCTTTCCTCTGCAAACAAGCGCTTCTCAAAGGGGCAGCAAAAGTAAACATGCACTAGCCGGTTGCATTCGAGATCGTCTTCA